TTATCTTAAGCATCTAAGTTTGCTTTTATAACTTTATACATGGTTAGCCAGAAGTGGCCAAGCTGTTGGTTAGCCAGAAGTGGCTGCGCTGTTTGTTGCGGTCTAGCTTTTTGCCAGCTGTATGCACCTGTGCACACTCCAACTCTCTCCACCTCACTCCCTATTATCTCCTGTAAGGTAGCTTTCAGCATACACAACAATGAACAGTATAAGTATATTACACTAGATTTTTTTCCTGTTTTCCAAACAAAGGACACACGTCTGTACATCTTTGCTGCTAGAAACAGTATCTCCAGAAACTTCTTGTACCTGACTCCTTGCATCAACATGAGGTGATTTTTCTAGGTTCTGCACTTCTAGCAACAGAACTGCTGGGTTGGCATCTCCACCTCCAACTTTACTGATTTCTAATTGCTCTCTAAGAGGCTGCGCTGATTTACACACCTACAAGGAATGTGTAGGATCACCAATATTCTCCCTGTATGTGGCCTGTCTGTGTTCTGACCCAGAGAACATTTTAGATTTAAATGGAGTATAATCTTTCCCTTTATGGTCACCTTTTAATGTAATATGTAAGTTCTTTAATGCTCATGTTAACTAATTTTTAAACACTGAAAATATCTTAAAGTTCTATATCTCATAATGGATTTAAGTATTAATATATAAAAAGCAGAAGACATGAAGTAGAAAATGACATAATTCTGGTTTCACTTCTAAAGCTAATGACATGCAAAGGGAAAGCAAATAGCAAAGAAATTCGATATGTTACTATTAACCCAATGCATTACTTGTAAGAGGCTCTTCAAACAATACCAACAATTTACACCACGGCATGGGCATGTATACATTATCTGAAAAAAAAAAAAGTAAAGCTAATATTTCAGTGTAGAAAGCTTAATATAACCAGGTGTAAGAAAACTATTCAGGCGTTAATTTTAAAACTGATAATTAGAGTAATAATTAACAAATTCTAATATCTGAGTTTAGTTTACAGTGTTTGCCATGGTCGATTACTTGTTTACATTCAGTTAAGTCATAGATGAAGAAATCTCTGAATTCCAGGCTCTTTCAATGTCTTTTGAAACTCTGTAAGCAGAGATTCAATTCAGGCTGTAACCTGCTCAATTAAGGGATGAGACTGCAGGATCATTTTGGCAGGAAATTCACCCACTTAGTTAGGTTTCTGGTGCTGTGATAAAGGCCAAGACCAAAAGCAATTGGGGAATAGGAGTGTTTATTTGGCTTAGAAGTTACAGTCCATTATTAGGGAAGCAAGGCAGGCTCCTGGAGGCAGGAAGTGAAGCAGAGGCCATGGAGGAATGCTGTTTACTGGCTTGCTCCTCATGGCTTCCTGAGTCTGCTTTCTTATAGAAACTAGGACCACCTATCCAGTGGTGGCCCTGGCTCAGTAAGCTGGGCCTTCTGACACAAGAAAACTTGTCTGCAGTCCAGTCATTCTCAGTTGAAGTTCCTCTTCTGAGATAGCTCTAGATTTGTGTCAAGTAGACAAAAACCAGTCAGAATAGTGACTAAAGCCTCATTTGGAAAGTCTTCTGTCTCACCTTTGCCTTAGTGAAGATGCTAATGATGACAGCAATGACCTAAGCGAGTCACCCAGATAACTATGGGTAGAAGTCTCACTCTAAAGTGACACATCACTTGGTGGCTCAAATGTGTTTTAAAAGATCTAAGCAAATGACACAAAAAGCCTTGCCTAACAATGACCTAACAATGTTTGTACCCCTTGCAGGTTGCAGAAGGGTTTCATCCACCCAGTACTTTCATTAGAAAGAGTTGCCTTTGTTTGGTTCTGATTTACTTGTCTGTTTTTATGCAGGATTTGTTCCATGGAGGAGGAGAGGAAAAATGCAAATTGCTACCTGCCAGGTTCTAGCAAAGCGACTTTCCCTTTACAGTGACTCCTGTTATCCCTGCAATGAGGAGTAAGGATGGTCTGGGTCTACAGTCCACTAAGGGTTCCACCACTTCATTCTGTAGCATCAGCAAATCCTCTAACAGAGGCACAAAATGAGAAAAGAGAGGTGTCTGGGTCTTTGCTCTGTGACTGAGCAGACTCTAGACCATTTTAGGTGCTAACAAGAGGAATGTGCAAGAACACAGTCCCCCAAGATGTAATAGAACCAGGGAACCCATCACCTAAACACAGGGCACCACAGGCCAAATGAAGCCTTCAGCCTCACATCCCACGACGCCCAACCCAGGCAGCCAGCCCTTCATCATCCTGCTTTCACCCCAGAGTGTTTTCTTGGGAGCAACACCAAGCCACTTTGCAGCAACGTCTTTAGGGGTCGATCAGGGATATGTTGTCAGTAGACCACACTGGCTGCCTCGCTCTCCAGAAATAATGACAGGCATGTGTTTTTAAAATCAGCTCTCCTCATTTTCTCAGACAAGAACTGGCGCACAGCTGAAAGGATTTTAGCTGCTATTAAACCAAAAGCATCTGAGTTTCCACTGAAGTTATACTGCAGTTTCTACGACTTCATTTAGCTCTACTTTAAACACCTTTCATTTTTCTCAGTCAACAACATTTCTCTGGTTTTTCTCGTGTTTCAAGTCAGGATGAAACTTATATCAAAGTCACAAAGGGGACCCAACTAAAAAGAAAGCCAGTCTCACTACGGTTGTATTGCATGAAGACTTAATATTAAATGGTTCATAGGCTGGGATATAAATAAGTAGATTTGTGACTTATAATAAAATTTCGGTATATTCACTATAGGAAATTTGAAGATCTAAGAAAATAAAAATTTCTCATCATGTTCAGCCTGCTAGATGCTGTCATCTTTAACAGAAATTCAAAGCTACATTTGAAATTCAGCTTACTTCTGTATTAACAACTTTATGCAATTTAAACAGATCATTTCAAAAATAATTTCTCATGTTAATTAAAAACCTGATTTTGTTTGTTTTTGAAACAGGGTTTTGCTATAGTGCTCAGGGAAGCACTGAATTCTTATTCAGTCATCCCAGTGGCTGGAATAATGGGAACAATTACTAATGCAAGTCTGTGACTCAAAAGCCTGCATCATTGATGGTGTCATGTATGGACAGGTTCTTTATATATTTTATGTAAATGTTTCAAATAAACCAACATGTAAATATATACAAACCAACAAGGAAAAAATCAAAATTCTTAATAGCAAGATATATAATTGTCATACAATACATATGAAATTATGGCAAATAATTTCCCTAACCTACCACCTGGCTTCACACTTTTGTGTTAACAAATGACTTGTATGTGGAACTGTCATTACACGGCCTTTTTCTAGATGCTTCTGTTCTAGCTTTCATCTTCCATCTTCTTTAGTCAGATTTTTATCACTGTGACAAAACACCTGAGCAAAACTATTTCAGGGAAGATCAGGGAATAAAGATTCATTTGGCCCAAGGTTTCAGAAATTTCATTACTAGACAGGAAGAGAATGGTGGAGCAATGTGGTCCACCTTGTGGTGGCCAGGAAGCAGGGAGAAGCATAACTTTCTTCCTTTAGTTCTCTGTACTCTAGGCTGTTAGGTGATGTCACCCACAAAACAAACAACCAAGGCAAAACAAGACAAAACAAAACAAACTCACACCTTTTCACCTTATTAACCCTCTCTGGAAATGTATCTTCAGACATATAGCAGTGTATAACAACAATCTCAAAGATATCTCTAAGCCCAACCAACACTACCATCACAAGACTATAGTTAGTTCTACCACCAGCTAGCATAAAATGCTAATAGTCTCAGCTGAGTCTCAATATATGTGATATATTAATCCAAGCTCTGCCACTGTGTACTTCTAGGGCAGAGCATTTTGGTTTTGTTTTACTGTCAAATGATGGGGTAGAGCGGAATGATTTCTGGAGTTTCTCCCAGTTCTAGTAACACAGATGCCATGACTTAATACTTCTTTAGAAAAGAAGTATAATGCAGCACCACTCAACCTGATGAAAATTAGAATGGAAAATACAGTACTTCAGATCTAAATAGTACTTTCCTGCCAAGGTTGGCTATATTTCCAGCACTAAGAGACTGAGACAGGAGAATTTCCATGATTTTGAGGTCATCCTGGGCTACATAATGATTTCCAGGGAGCCCAGTAAGACCCTTTATTGACAACCAAACTATACAACAACAATAACAACAACAGCAACAACAAGGACCACTTAGGGGGAGGGAGGGAAAAGTCTTGCACATTGGCCAGGCTTGGTTCAAACTTACAAACTGAAGGAATCATATTGCTTCAGCCTCTCATGAAGTAGCTAGGAGTTCAAGTGAATATCACATGCACAGTTTAGGAAAGAATTTCTACAAAAAGGAGAATTCTTTTGACAGAGCCATCAGGACTCCATATCCCACACACTTTATGTACCACTCTTTGCCAAAGTTCATCCTCAACCATTCACTGCACGTATACAATCTCAAGAATTGAAAATAGAGTATCAACAAAAACCATCATGAGGATGGCAATGTATCAACCACTGACAAGACTTTGGACTACTCTGGGTAAAATCCAAAACCAATGATGACCAAATAGAAATGAATGCAGAAAAGGTCACAGTAAATACCAGAAGTTCCTGGAAGACCAGTAACAACTGAGTTCATTCTGGTTTAAACAAAGTGTCACATGATCCAATGGTCCACACTCCTTTCATTTTTTATAATAGAGTTGAAAGACCAGGTCTCCACATCAAGTTCCAAGTTGAACCTAATGTTTATGCACCATCACACCTGGACTAATGTTTTCAAAGTCTTCAAATCTGACTATAGCCAACTTAAAACTTAAGCAAAATAATTAAGACAAGAAAAAGCAAGAAGGAATGTCTCTTTCCCTGACAGCTTGAAACTCTTACCTACTTTCCTACCAAGTGTATAGGCTTTGAAAATGGAAATCTACTTCCAGTAATGGCTAAGTACAATGTCAGGTTTAAGCATACTCTTTGTATTTATTGATGGGTTTCAAAATTAAATGATCCACATTGCTTTACCTGATACATTCCAACTCCAATGTGCTTTGGGTCAAATTTCACTAGCTCAGCTAATGGATCTTGAACACGCCTTGCTATGGAAACTGAAAAAACAGAATCAGAAAATAATTACTTAGGTTAGTTTCTCACTAATGCCCACCTCCAAAGACATAACAATTTAATTAATTTAATTCAAAGTTCTTTTTTTCCATGCAAAAAGGAATGAATGTAAGATTTCAGACATAAATATGTCAGCATACACACACACACACACATCATTTATTATTTTTGAGACAAGGGTATCCTTCTGTGGCCTCAGATAGCCTGGAACTTACTATGTGGTCATGATAATCCTCTTTCTTCAGCCTCCTGAGTGCTAAGATTACAGACATGAGCCACCACACCTGACTAATACTCCCAGACATTAGTTATGAAGACACACATGGAAAAGACTAGAGATTCAGAGAAATAAATAAAACATCTTGCTCCTAAACTCACACAATTATCTGTCCATTCTTTAAATAAGATATAAATGGAGTGCCTCAATCGTTAAAGAGTATAGAGAGATTTGTTTCAAGTAATCTTGCATTGTTATCAATATGACATATCTAATATTCTTAGTAAAGCTAGAACATGGTAATCATGAGTAGATGTTAGAGAATTATATAAAGGCAACCAAGCTGTGCTGGCAAGTATATACTCTTAGGAGGTTTAAATGAGACTGTAGAGTATATAGAGTATACTCTGGAATCTACCTACTGGCTCTGATCACAACCTTTCCTTGCCATTACAGTTTGGGATCAAGAAACCTGGAAGTATGGAAACCTACTACTGCAGAAGCTTCCTAAAATACATACATACATACATACATACATACATACATACATACATACATACATATAAGAAAGGAGTCTAAAGGGAGTAGCCAAATACTAGGGGAGACAGTGCCTCACAAGACATGCCTCCAAGTATAACATCCAGTGCCAGAAATGGGTTATATCTTGTTGAATTGTTGGCCAAAGGGGCCCCATGGAAACTCCAAACATCACAGGCGATTGCCAAGACTACCCCCACAACTTGATGATAAGGTCCTATGCAGTAGATGGGCACTGAAAACTACACTTATGTATGTCATCTAATATGGAGACATTAAAGCACCCTGTATGCTACTAGACAAGAAAGGTAATCATCAATATCTCTCAGCTACAAGCCCTGCAACCTCAAAGACTGACCTGACTGCAAGATGTACTAGTGTTATGGTGGCATCCTGTAATGGTACATAAGTGTGACGGCGGCATCCTGTAATGGTGGCATAAGCATGGTGGTGACATTGTGTCATGCTGGCATACGTATGATGAGAGTAACCAACCACTTCATCTTTGAATTTAAACCCTACTCCATGACAACGATCTCATACCCAAAACTGCTGAAATGGTCAAGACTAGATAGGTCATGGGCCCTGGAGGAAAATCCACTCCTGTTATTCTGCTGAAAGAACATAGCAACAAAATGACTCCTAGTGGCATACTCCTATACCCAAGGATCAGAGAAGCTTCTTTTTGCACTAGATGGGCACTAACACAGAGACCCACAAATGGACAATGTGCAGACGATAAAAGACAATGGAGCACTCAGTCCTAAAAAGGATGTCTTCATCAAAACCCTCAGCAGACTTGCGAGAAACATTTCTTCTCCCTTCGTATTAGGTCTTATGTCCTAAGAATAAAACAGGTTCCAGGCTTTGGGACTTTCATTTCTAAGAAATAATTAGAATCCTAAAATTTATAGAGTAAACCAAATTATTGCCCCCAAACCTCCAGTAAGCAGTAGTTTTAAACTCTGTCTTATTATTTAACAATATTAAATAGAAGTGTTGTGATGGTTTGAATGAAAACTGTCCCCATATGTTCATAGAGAGTGGCACTATTGGGAGGTGTGGTCTTGTTGGAAGAAGTGTGTCACTAGGGATGAGCTTTGAGGTTTCAGAAGCCCAAGTCAGGCTCAGTGCCTCTCTTTCCCTGCTGCCTGCTCATCCGGATGTAGAACTCTCAGCTACCTCTCCAGCACCATGTGTGCCTACACATGCTTCCAGCCATGATGATAATGGACTATACCTCTGAACCATAAGCCATTCCCAATTAAATGATTCCTTTTTATAAGAGTTTCTGTGGTCATGATGTCTCTTCCCAGCAATAAACCACTACCTAAGACAAGCATTTCTTTTTAAATCTAACACTCATGTTATCACTTTCCCTTTGACTGGAAAGTGTCCTGGTCAATGAAAGTTTTTTGGTTAATATAACACCTCCACCAGAGTGGACTGTAAGCAAATCTTTAAGGCATTTCTGGATGTGAGAAGGCCCAGCTCACTGGCAATGATGTCTGGCCAGGTGGTCCTGGTTTCTATAAGAAAGCAGACTGAGGAAGCCATGGGGAACAAGCCAGTAAACAGCATCCCTCCATGGCCTCTGTATCAGCCCCTGCCTCCAGGTTCCTGCCTTGGCTCCTCCTGATGATGGACTGTAACCTGTGAGCCAAATAAAGCCTTCCCTCCCCAAGGAGGACCATGGTGCTTTATGACAGCAATAGAAACCTAACTAGGACAGAAGGAACACAGGAAATTAATCTTCTCTATGTCATAGTTTGAATAATCAGTGCAAGTAGACTGTAATCCTGACCTTCTGACAAATAACTGCTACTGTGAAGAAGAAGCTGACAATTGCAGAGACCTGATAAACTGCTTCACAGCTTGACTGTGATAGTGGTGGTAGCTACTCAACCAATACGAGTTTGTTAAAGTTCATAGATAATGTTTCTTGCATCGCTAAGCTGGCTTTGGAGCTGCTTGGGAGGCTGCAGCAGAAGGAACATGAGTTCCAAGGTGCTGAGACCTTGTCTGAGATAAAGGTAACATAACTGTTGCATGTGCATACCCCTCAAATGATGGGAATGTTTTTCTTACTCTGAGAAATTGTACTTTTCATTTCTCTCATCTGTATCATTTCTAATTCTTCCAAGCAACTTCTTTCTCCCACTGTCTTCTGACAAAATCTTTAATAATGCAGGGCTTTCTTACAGGAGGGGGACCTATGGTTACCCTCTAGTTTACTCACAGGCCAGAGGTTGGAACCTTGTTCGGGCAGGCCTGATGCTGAGGTGCCAGTCAAGGTCTAGAATCTGCATGAAAGCTCAGCTCTCCTCTAAGGTTCAGAGCAGCATACTGACAGCTGAGCACACTCCTCCCTACATCAGGGATCCCCACTCTAATATTTGGCTGTATCCATTAGTGTAGGGGCTTTCCATGTAACTTGTTCAGAGAAAACCTCCAATCTTACACAAAGATAGAAACAAGCAGTCACACTGTATGAAAGCAGATGTCTGCTGCTGCCATCTGGTTGAAGTGAAATTTACTACACTAGGCATATTAAATAAAACACAAACTCAGTGTAACTTACTATACTCACACTGTGTGGCTACCAACTCTGACCAAGTTCTCAAATGTTCAATTCATCACATCAAGAGAAAATCCTGAACACATTGATCAGTCACTCTATGGCCACCTCTCCCTGGTCCCTGACAAGCACACCAGGCTGCTTCTAGCTACAGATCTGCCTTTTCTACAGGCTTCCAAATGATGCCATTACATAGAACACCGTCTTTTGTGATTGGCTCCTTATACACAACTTAATGTTTTCATTCATGGTGTGCACGTTTCAGTACTTCAGCCTTTGTATGGCTGAATAATATCCTAGTGTGTCGAAACATATTTTCTTCCTTGTTCCCAGCCTTTGGCTACTGTGACAAGTGCTGCTGGCCACCCTTGTGCTATCTTACGATTCAACCTAGTCTGGGCTGGCTGGCTCACTTACTACTCATCTTCTAGCTTCAGGTTTCAAAACATGCTGCTGTATTGTCTTCTCAGGTTTCTCTTTGTCCTTGTTTTTATTCGCTCATGTTGCTACAATTTTTTAAAAGAATTTCAGAAATAAGGGAAAGAATGAAGACAATAGTCACTCTAGTATATTAACTCAGAAATTCTCAAGTTCTATCAGTTCAATGTTAATGCTTCTCATATGTAATGTATTTACTGTAGGAGACACAAGCATTTGGTAGAAGAACAATTGTTTTCAAAAGGCTAATAAGGACATGTCCCTATGAAGGTCATTTCCAATATGCTTTAATGCTTCTAAAATGTTATGATTCTTTCTAACACAGGCAATTAATACAGGATTTTTATCAGTCTGTTTTCAGTTGCTATAGCAAAATACCTCACAGTGGGTCATAAATTTTTAAAAGAAGCTCATTTAAATTCAGTGAAAATATTTTAGCACAAATTTAATTTCTAAGAAAGTAGCATAAATATTCCCCATTGCATAGAAAACTAATATATCCAGATGTAAAAATTTTATTTATTCCAATTACTTTCCCTAGATTTCTCAAAGTATTTTAATTTTCTATTACAAAATTTTAGCTATTCCACATCCTAGACATCAAAGCAACCAAGTACAAGAAAGGCATGTTTTTTAAAGCAATGCATTACCATGAATCAGAGGCCAAGAGAGAATGTTCAGTTGCCAAGCATTTAGCAACAAACCAAAAGCCTATGTATGTTTACTCACTGGTACTGCATTTATGTTTATGTTACTTACTGCCAAGAAAATTCTATAATGATTATTTTACAATCATTATATTATCCTTATTATTGAACTCTGGCATTTAATAAGACCATTTGCATTGAATTCTCACTATTTCTAGAGTACTTCAAGGTATTAACTGTTGCTTGTATTTTTCATAATTCCTAGTATTAGTTTAGTCTAGAACTTACAAATGCACCAAGTCTTGTACATGTGGCAAAGCTTTTCCATTTTCATGGATATGTAAGTTTGTCACATTTACAGATATAAAAATATCTCAGTCCTATGCTGTGTGACGGTCCCAGATTCTCACCTGCACTTCTCAAGTTAGGGTCTAGCCCTGGCATCTCCTTGTTAGCTTCGGGGCTGACACTGTAGATAGAGGCCCCTGCTTCACTGACGATGCTGAGAAGACAGAAAGTAAGAGCATTATTTTGTAAACTGTCCACTTGGTCAAAGAGAATACACGGAAAAACTAGGCAGTACAAGAAGCGCTGGAGACAGCCACAGCATGGACTGCCCACCACAGAGAGTAGCACTGAGTTGTGCTTACCTGGCTAAGTTGTGCTTTTCTGGATAGCAGGTACAAAGACTCACATCCAGGATACATTCATTCACCAACAAGAGCATTTCTAAATGAACACAATGAATACCTTCCCCTAATGCCAACTTCAAAGTTGCCAGAATATACTCCGCTTCTCTTGTGTTTAGTGGGCATTCCTGACTGACAGTTAACGATTTCCATCTGAGTCAGCAGTGTGGTAGTTGAGTGCATGGGTGGACATGCAGCAAGAACCACTTCCACCAACACTACTCTACTATTACCTGGTTATATGCATGTCACATATGTAACAACATACATGGAAAGGAAAGGCCAGATAGACTACCCGCCGCCCACCAACCTCTTGTCAGGAAGGTCAGTACTGGAAGCTCTTCCTTCAGGCAGGTACTAAAGAAGTCGCTCATCATTTACTTAATCAAAGCGCCAGAGAAATCACCCTCTTCCTTTCCTCTGTGGCTCCCAGTGCTTTACAAGCCACAATGAAGACATTCTTGCAGATACCATTTGTACAGTGGTTGACAAGCATGTGCCTGATCAAACATTTGATATTATGACATAAAAGCAAAGGCACATTACATATTTTTATGCCACACGACCTTCAGCTCTGCCACATGACCATCCATGTGTGAAGATTCAAAGAGAATCATGTCAGTGTTTAATTTGTATTCCTCTTTTAGCAACGTCTCTCATTCTGAGCTCCTCAAACTCCTCTTCAACCATCTAAGGCACACTTAGATAACCCTTAACATACTGCCCTTTGCGAACAATCAAACACTAAGTAATCAAATGTAAAACTCTTTACTGAAATGTGACAACTGCAAGTCACTAGTGCTTGAAATTATTCTAGAGAAAAGGTTCTCAATCTGTGGGTCGCAACTCCCTTTCACAGGGGCTGCATGCATATCAGATATCCTACATATCAGACATTTATACTACCATTCATAACAGTAGCAACAGTTACGAAGTAGCAATGAAACTGATTTTATGCTTGGAGTCTGCACAACGTGAAAACCTAACTGTATTAAAGGGTCCCAGCACTAGAAGGTTGAGAGCATTACTCTAGTCTGAAGACAAGGAATAGGACCACTGTTGCAGAAAAGCATGGCTGCTCCTCGCTCCTCTTCTAAAGCACAAAAACATGTACTCCACAGAAAGATGCTCATTAGCAAATTACGTCCTACTGATGGGAAGACAGTGTGTTCAAAGTTATAGCTGATGAACAGCTGGGCGGGGTTGTATCCTAACCTGCCTGGTCCTCAAGCCTGAGCTCTGGACAACCACAGCTGAGTAGCTGCTAACAAACTGGGCGGCTTTCATTAACATGATAATTCTCTCCCTGTGCCTTCACCTAGGGCCCAAAGAGAAAGAACCTAAAGCATGTTCAAGATCAAGTGAAACTCCTTCATTTGAGACCAAGTCTAAACTAGAAAGAATTGTGCTTTTCCTTTTAACATAAGATCCAGATTTTCCTTATCTTCTATTACATAATGATCAAGGATAGTGTGTAACATTACATAAAACAAGGTGTAAAAAACACAAGCTGATGAAATGAGTCAACAGATTAAAGCATTTGCCACCAAGCTTGAAAACCAACCTGAGTTCAATCCCCAGAACTCACAGAGAACAGCAGAAGAGAGAACTGGCTCTAAAAAAAAAATGTCCTCTGACCTTCACTAGTGTGCAAAGGCACACATGCCTGCATGGTTTCATAATAATAATAAATAAAATAAAAAATGTAAAACCCATGCATTGAAGAATCTTAGTGTGGCACAGCAAGATGAAGCTGATGTTACAGACTAGGAGGGACGTCAGTTTCCATACAGCAGTTTTCTAACTGGCTTCTGAATGACTGGGCAGTGAGACGTAGGTTTATTTGAAACTACATGTGAAATGCTGTGTTTATGCATACTTATTTCTAGGGAAATGGGTTGGGGCTTTCACTGGCTAGTTTAGAAAATTCCTAATCTCTAAAAGGGTTATGAAACTATCACAGAAGAAGACTATTCAGTAACCAGCTATGGAAAGAACCATTTCAACACAAATCAATATTCAGGCTAATAAAGTCCTTTCTAAAAAAAATTAACTATCAACAAAATGTAGCCTGGACCCATTATTAAAATAAAAGAATATTTTAAAAAACGTTCCACAAACATACTTTATATCATTTCTAGAAATCTCCAAATTTAACAACTATTTAAGTGAAGAGAACTTAAATGGTAAGCTAAAGTTTTAATTAACTGGCCTTTAGTAGTTGGGTACCTGAGAATTTGCCAAGTGATTCACTTTCTCTTGGAGGTTATAATTCTCAACAAACCGAAAGGAAACTTTTGCAAAGAAAAATACTCAGATAAGAAATATTCCTCCAAATTCTATACTGCCACTTCTTTTAAACAGAGGAATACAAAACAGATGTGACACATTGCACCCAAAGATTTTAGATTAACAATAATATTAAATCAGTACAAAATATAGTAAATTTCACATGCTATATTTACTGAACAGTGTGGACTCAATAAATAGTCAAGTACCAATCATGAGTCAGAAAGCTAAATGACCTAAAGGAAGTTTATTCAGATATAAAACATATATGGCCTAAGATGTGTATGTATCTAAAAATCAAAACAAATCAGAGGGTGGCAATTTTTACCGAGGGAACTTACTGAGGACAAAAGCTACCATGTCCCCCTGCAGCTTCCTATTCCTGTTCCAAGTTCAAGGGCAGACACTCAGCAGAACCCATGTCAGATTAATCAGGCACTTTCTGTTTAGTGGAAGTCTCCCAGTCAACTACAGGGAACTATGCTGATGGCCTGTAAAATTCAGGGATCTGAAGAAAACAACTGCGGGCCTGGTGAAAGCATCATCTGCAAAGATGTATGGAGCATTATATTTAAAAAGCAATTAAATATATTTTAAATTAAATATATTTTAAAAGCATTATATTTCTCTCCAGTATTCTAGCCTTACATCATAGCAATCTGATTACTGTATTTATTTGAACATAAAGCCAATGGGAGTAATCAGAAATTATTATTTGGGGCAATTTTAAGTGAGAAAGTTGTAAATGAACTAACATTTTAAGACTCTCAGAGTATAATGATGCTCCTTTTAAATTATACAGCTAAGACAAACACCTAAATGGAGATGTATGACATCTTGCACTTGTACCATAAAAAGGCGTATTTCAGAAGCCGGCATGCAGTTCCATTTCGCTGAGGAAATGCTAGTATACTGAGTTTCAAGAAGTAAATAGGTAATTTTAGAAACATTTTACCTAAACACTATTTTGGGGTTGTCTGTGTTTCTTTATGTTAAAAATAACAACAACAACAAGCTAAACTCTCATAACCTAAAAGGTCAAATATCTACAATATAGAAACAATTGTTTTCAATTCACTAAAAAAAAGAATCCTCAAATCTCTCTAAATAAAAATGCTATATTTTTAATCCTCAAAAAATTCAATAATGTTGCTCATGTAAACTATTCCATAAATCACTAATTGATTTTTTAAAAGATACTTCGATTACAGAATTGCACTCTGTCAGCTCTCACGCGACGGATGTTGATAAAGCCTTTCTGGCCAAGTCTGTGAGCACTTGTCTTGGTGACTGGGACCCTAGGAGAACAGTTTGCCATTCCTTTTTCTGGAAAGTACTAACAGTTCTCACACTCACCTGAAAGGCCATGAAACTTCTGCATGAATAGCTTCTCTCCCCTTTCTCCAAATAAGAAAATAGCTTTTCTGTTACACCTCTGGCTTTAAAATAAATTACTTCCTTCCTTATGTTAATGTAAGAATTTAACTAAGAAATAATTTGCTTAAATAAAAATATAGTGACAGAGATTTAAAAAACAAAAAGACAAAAACAAAAAAAATCAAAAAACAGGGCAGCCATTAATACAGCCATTATTCCATTAATTCCAATATTACATTATTCCATTAATACAGCCTGGTGTGCTTCTAATTCTTCCTAAGAATGCAATTCCTGCCTTTGGCCTTCATAAAATATATGTATTGCACCTCTGCTACACTGAAAAGTTACATTCCACTCAACTCTTTAACTTCTTTAAACACAGTTCTTCCAACTTTTCAGGCTGAAAACATTCATAGAGAAACTGACTGTGTCCTCTAATCTCAGTACTAGGAAGCAGGAAGCCCTTGATTCTTGTGTCTTCTCTTGGACTCTTTTCCTGCTGTCTGTCTGGTCTAACTCCAGTGTGTCAGTTTTTAATAACATCTTATTCTATTCTGTTTAATGTATTATTTATCCCTTAAAAGAAACTAACATACACAGTAACTCCCTGCTCTGCCCATGAGTTAGTCTGTTATAAAGTATGAATGGATATTGGCTTATATCCTAAGAACAGGTAATAAACCTAAAACTCAAAGTCCACAAACAGAAGGGGCTCTAGGATGGAATGTTAAAGAATACAACCACATTCCCTTAAATCTTTATTAAGTAGAGCTTACCCTTTCAGAGCGTTCTCAATCATTTCGAATAGGAAGGTAACCAAGTTGGGCATGGAAATATGCACCTCTACCTCCAGCATTGGGTGGGGCAAGATCACAAGTCAGTCTAGGCTATATAGGGAGGCCCTGTATCAAGAACCAAACAATCAACCAACCAACAACACAAACAGAGGTAATCTGTTGATGATCAGGAAGATGATGGAAAAAAATCAAAAACTGGTAGGGATATTTAACTATAAAGTTTGGTTGTAAAATAAAAATTCGAGCAAAAGTTACAAAAACTATCGTCCTGATCCAGAAATATATTTTTAGAGTTAATATGAAATAAATATAAAACAACACACAAAAAAATAAATTTTGGTTCAGAAGTG